CCACCGCCACCTCCACCGCCACCCCCACCGCCCCTGCCACCCCTGCCGCCCCTGCCGCTGCGACGCTTCCCACTAGGAGCGGAAGCAGCTCTGACCCCCTCAGCACCAAGGTAGTCGTGAGCAGCAGATGCGGAGGCATAGGAGGGGGTGAGAGGGGAGGGGGAGCACCCCTCAAAGAGGGGAGAGCGAGGAGTGCCACGAGCAGCACCTACAGCGAGGATGTTCTTCTCTGCTGCGAGGAGGTGCTTCTCGAAGTCGTCGACAGTGAGAGTGGTGGGGTCTAGCGCTAGGAAGTGGTCCCTGACAGAGCTAAGAGTGTCAGGGAGGCGGGTGACGAGGAAATAGAGAGTGAATTACATCGGGGGGGGGGGGGGGGGGGGGGGTTTGCGGTGCAGAACTCGGCTGAAAGGGCGGCACGAAAGCGAGAGTCAATAGCGCGCAGGTGAGAAACTAGGTCCTCAGCAGTGGTGAACGAGGAAAGATCGGGGAACAGGTACGGTAGCATGAGTCGACCTATGACTGCAGTGGCCGGGGAGGAGTAGCGCACAACTACAGCGTCGTACAGTGTCTTAGCAGTTCTGTGCTGGCTGAAATGCGCTCGCTCAGTAATCGGCAGGTGGTTCCTAATAGCTAGGCGTGCAGCAGCATCACGAGTCTGCCACTGGGAGCGTTCTAGAGCAGGAGCATCAGCAGCAGGAGTAACGGCAGTGCCAGAGACGTAATCAAACAGGGAAACGCCCTCTTTGGCATCAGTCAGAAGGAACAACTGGAGATCGTCTAACCACACAGTGAACTCGATGGGACGACCGTCAGGCTCGAACGCTAGAACGTTGGGCGTCGCCATATTGGCTTAAGGCAGGAGGCAGCAGACAGCAGGCAGCAGGCAGCAGGCAGAGGCAGCAGGCACCAGGTAGGAGGCAGGTGGCAGGCAGGCGGCAGCAGGCAGCAAGCAGGCAGGCGGCAGCAGGCAGCAAGTAGCAGGCAGGCAGCAGGCAGGCAGCAGGCAGGCTGCAGGCAGGCGGCAGCAGGCAGCAAGCAGGCAGGCAGGCAGGCGGCAGGCAGGCGGCAGCAGGCAGCAAGCAGGCAGGCGGCAGCAGGCAGCAAGCAGCAGGCAGGCAGCAGGCAGCAAGTAGCAGGCAGGCAGCAGGCAGGCTGCAGGCAGGCGGCAGCAGGCAACAAGCAGGCAGGCAGGCAGGCGGCAGGCAGGCGGCAGCAGGCAGCAAGCAGGCAGGCGGCAGCAGGCAGCAAGCAGCAGGTAGGCAGCAGGCAGGCAGCAGGCAGGCTGCAGGCAGGCGGCAGCAGGCAGCAAGCAGGCAGGCAGGCAGGCGGCAGGCAAGCGGCAGCAGGCAGCAAGCAGCAGGCAGGCAGCAGGCAGGCAGCAGGCAGGCTGCAGGCAGGCGGCAGCAGGCAGCAAGCAGGCAGGCGGCAAGCAGGCGGCAGCAGGCAGCAAGCAGGCAGGCGGCAGCAGGCAGCAAGCAGCAGGCAGGCAGCAGGCAGGCAGCAGGCAGGCAGCAGGCAGGCAGCAGGCAGCAAGAAGGAGCGGCCTGAGGGCTGCGTGAGGCTGCTGGCTGCGTGTGGCGGCTTGCTGCACGAGGCTGCAGGCTGCGCGTGGCTACGGGCAGCGCGCGCGGCCGCAGGCTGCGTGCGGCGACGGAATGCGCGGGCTGCGGGCTGCTTGCAGTTGCAGGCTGCGCGTGGCGACAGGCAGCGTGCGCGGCTGCAAGCTGCGTGCGGCTGCGGGCTGCGCTGGGCGACGGGCCGCACGTGCGCGGCTGCGGGCTGGGCGCTAAGCTGCGGGCTGCGCTGGGCAACGGGCCGCGCTGGCGTGGCCTAACCAGGTTGCGCGCAGGCGGCTTAAGGGGCGCACAGGTGGGGCCGAAACGGGCTGCGCGGGCTGCTGAAGCGGCGCACGTGGGAAAAAAAAAAAAAAGGACCGCCCGAGGCGCGCGCGGGCAGCCGAGGCGCGCGTAGGCACTAGACAAGGCAGGCAAGCGTGGTGGGCCCTAATCCTAGGTCCTAAGGACCTATGCTCTATACCATGTTAGAATCGTAGGCAAAAAGTGGTGTCGACTATCGAGAAGGTTGGTACAAAGAAGAAACCTAAGGGGTTGTACCCCACGGTGCGTACCCCACTAAGCCTACCCAAACTATAACATATATATACATATGTTTGACATGTCCTCCTATCTCGAGGCGTGGTTTAATGATTCTCGCACCATCGGTGCTTTGCCTCAATGGTTGTTGGTGAAAACATGTGTTCTTGAATCCCTTCCCTCTTTTTTTTTTTTTTTTTTTTTTTTTTTTGCCATGACATGGCTTGGATAGGGACAATGCACTATAGGGGCCAGCGGCCTGGATCACACTTCCAATATAGCATTACAATTTCACGGCCACCCGGGCCACACACGTGCACACGCACACACACACACACACATTTTTTTTTTTTTTTTTTTTTTTTTTTTTATGGCCTAGAGCAATCCTTGCATCTAGCCTCGGCTAAACAGCCACTCAAGGACCCCCTGGTCCTGCCCCGCCCTTCCACAACTCCTTTCCAAGGCACAAGGCGTGGGGCGCCTTGGGGCAATGAGAGGAGGGGTCGCAAGGGATGTTCGGGCTTCGCTCACACCACCGGTGCGGGCCCATTGCCCCCATGGCCTCCATGGGGGCACGCGCTTGCCATGTGGCCGTGCTGGCCACAGCGGAAGCAGGTGCCTTTGAAGCCCCGGCAGCCACTTCCTCCTCCCATGCTCTTCGGCATGAACGCGGCGGGCTCACGAGAGAAAGAACGGTTCCCGCGGGGGAATCCGGTCTTCATGCGCTTGAGCGCTGCCATATCCGCCACCGCCATTTTGAAGGAGCGCGACGTCAGCACCGATGTAGTCTTCAGCAGCTGGTAGCGTTCAGCCACGTCGAAGCCCGCGTGGTCGGCGACGACCAACACGTCGAAGCGGCGCTTGATGAGATCTTGAGCTTGGGCAACGGTTTTGAGTGCGCCGGTCGCGTCCCCACCGCGGATTTTGTGCTCCAAGTGCGCGAGGTAAGTCTGGAGCGCTTCGAATACTTCCGCCTGGTCACGAACGCCCTTGCGGTTGAAGGCGGCGGCCGCGGTCGAAGGATGAGGAGAGGGGAGAGGGGGAAGGAGATCGTTAGATAAATGCGGAGAAGGATTATTTGGCTCCTCACCCTCGTCGCTGTCAGAGTCGGAATCGATGTCGACAGGGGCGGCCGGCTTCTTCGACAGCAGGCGCCTTTCCTTTGTCGGCGCGGGTGGGAGCGGCAACACGAGCGGATGTAGAGATGTTGTTGCGCACATTTGCAGTTTTAGCGGATGCGGAAATCTCCGCTTCGATTGTAGCTGTAGGCGTCGTTACAGCAGGGGCCGCGGCCTGCTTTTGAAGAAGCGCCAGCAGTGCCGCAAGTTGAGAGGGCGAGAGATTCGTTGCCGCCCCGTCTGACGCAGCAGAATCTGTCGCCCTGCGCTTGGGGGGCGCGCGAGATCCGCTCGGATCTGCGGCGGCGGCAGCAAGGGGTGGCGACGAAGTCGCCATCATTGTTGCCGCCTGCAGGCCCTCGAGCCTGCGTGTGGCTCGCGCGTGGCTGAGACGGTCGCGCGACTGTTCCGCCCTCGCCGAGCAGCACGTCGACCCCCGTGTGGGTGCCTTCGGCGTGATTCTCGGCGGGGCGTTTCCTTTTCTCTGCGCTTGTTTCCCGAGGCGATTTTTCAAGCCCCGTCGACTGACGAGCGGGAGAGTCCTTAGCCCCGGGTGTATTATTGTTGGTCAGCGCCAGCGTCGATAAGTTCCGCTCGAGGATGTCGGAGAGGAGCGTTGACGGAGAAGTGAAGCGAGGGAGAGACTTGACCCTCGCCAGCTTGGACGAGAAATCTCGAAACTTGAACTTGAAAGTTTGAAATGAAAAACGTGGGTGAAGGCCAAATGGCCTTCGCCCCCTCTTTTGTACCAAAAAGAGGGGAAGTAGTGGTTCGCCGAAGCCTTTGCTTCGGTACAATTCGCTTCGCTATTCACAATACACAATTTTAGAAAGTGTTTCACTTTCAAAAATTTACATTAAACCAAAGATACCTGCGCACTTGTTGAGCAGAAGGTTCCAACGAACTCTAAACCACCAACTACAACTTCCCCTCCCCAACCACCTCCTACACACCTTTGGGGTTTTCCCCTGGGACTAAGTGTTGGAGGGTGGAAAGTGGAGGGTGGAGGGGAGGGTCTACTGTAAGTGGTGGAGGATCAAGTGGTGGAGGATCAAGTGGCAGAGGATCAAGTGGTGGAGGGTGGTGGTGATGGGTCTAAGTGTGCCGCTGGGGTTTTCCCAACTGCTTGTTGGTAACCGGTATGCAATACCAGATTGCAGTTTGTTGCTCAAGACATTTGGGTACACTCATGCTTGTCTCGATAGAGGTGGCTTGAGTGCAGCTCAGCTTGAGTGCAGCTCAGCTTGAGTGCAGCTCAGCTTGAGTGCAGCTCAGCTTGAGTGCAGCTCAGCTTGAGTGCAGCTCAGCTTGAGTGCAGCTCAGCTTGAGTGCAGCTCAGCTTGAGTGCAGCTCAACTTGAGTGCAGCTCAGCTTCAGTACAGAGCAGATTACAATCAGAGCAGATCACAATCAGAGCAAATCACCGTTCGGAGCGGATCAGCATCAGTGCAGCTCCAGCTGTCCCTGCTCGTTGTCCCCAAACCCTATGCAGGTGCCATCACGGCATAAGGCAACGGTGTGGTACGCCCCTGTGCTGATCTGCATGACAGCATGAAGCACGTGGAAAAGCACACACGCAAACAAACAACTTCACGGTTAACCCTCAAAATCGTCACGGCATAAGGAAATGCTGTGGTAGGCTCCTGTGCTCATCTGCTTGTCAGCACGCACACACACACGGACGGACACATTTACGAATCACATCCCTGCATTTCAGCAGATTTAAGCAGCAAGTGAGACTGATTTGCAGCAACCAGCATCAACCAGCATCAACCAGCATCAACCAGCATCAACCAGCACCACTCGCGTCCCCTCCAGAGCCTCCACTGGCTCGCCCTGTACTAAGAGCAAACACCTTGTATCGCTCTGCTGCCACGCCTCTGAGGCACTTCCAAAGTGCCATCCGCCCATCCGCCCATCTGCCCCAACCAGCCCCCTTGCTCACCTGCACCACTCGCTTCCCATCCATGCCTGTGAGGCACTTCCAAAGAGTTATCCACCTATCAGACCATCCTACCAAACCAGCCCCCTTGCTCACCTGCACCACTCGCCTCCCCTCCAGAGCCTCGACCGGCATGGGAGAAAACACCTTGTCTCGCCCTGCCGCCACTCCCAGCCCTCCAAACGCCGTCCACCCAAACGCCAGCACCCGCCCTTGGTCGTCCAGAGCTAGTGTTTTGCGCTTTCCCAGAGTCACCTGGTTGAAAGGAGTGCAAACATGTGAGAATATTTGCAATTACACTTAGAATCATACATGAAAACAATTTTATTTATAGTTGATGCAAACGCCAAATGCAGACGACTCGTGATCGGCCAATTGGATCAGCTACTGGGATCAGCCAATTGGATCAGTCATACCTGCACTATTCGTGTGTGCAGCAATCCCTCAACGACACGTGGCAGCACCTCATTGGCCTCGCTGCCGTTGCCCAAGCATCCACAGTAGCCCGACCCCCACATGTGCACCTGCACACATGCAGACAAAAGGGAAGGCAAGCAGCGAATGGACTTAGCCACCTTCACCACACCCACGCCTGATCGCACAGCCACGCTATGGGGTGCGGTACCAGGCAGTCCAGAGCATTGAAGTACACCATTAAACTCCTTTTCACACCTCCTAACACCTATCACCTCTCCACGCCTCATCCCTGCACTCACCCTCCCCAGGCAGTCAAGAGCAGCAGAGTAGTCAACCGAAGCTGCCACCTTCACCACACACACGCTTGATTGCACCAGCCATGCTATGGGGTGCGGCACCAGGCAGTCAGGAGCAGCAGAACACACCTCCTAAGACCTTCTAACACCTTTTCACACCTTATATTTCACTCACCCGTCCCAGGCAGTCAAGAGCAGCAGAGTAGTCAACCGAAGCTGCCACCTTCACCACACACACGCTTGATTGCACCAGCCATGCTATGGGGTGCGGCACCAGGCAGTCAGGAGCAGCAGAACACATCTCCTAAGACCTTCTAACACCTTTTCACACCTTATATTTCACTCACCCGTCCCAGGCAGTCAAGAGCAGCAGAGTAGTCAACCGAAGCTGCCACCTTCACCACACACACGCTTGATTGCACCAGCCATGCTATGGGGTGCGGCACCAGGCAGTCAGGAGCAGCAGAACACACCTCCTAAGACCTTCTAACACCTTTTCACACCTTATATTTCACTCACCCGTCCCAGGCAGTCAAGAGCAGCAGAGTAGTCAACCGAAGCTGCCACCTTCACCACACACACGCTTGATTGCACCAGCCATGCTATGGGGTGCGGCACCAGGCAGTCAGGAGCAGCAGAGCACATCTCCTAAGACCTTCTAACACCTTTTCACACCTTATATTTCACTCACCCGTCCCAGGCAGTCAAGAGCAGCAGAGTAGTCAACCGAAGCTGCCACCTTCACCACACACACGCTTGATTGCACCAGCCATGCTATGGGGTGCGGCACCAGGCAGTCAGGAGCAGCAGAACACACCTCCTAAGACCTTCTAACACCTTTTCACACCTTATATTTCACTCACCCGTCCCAGGCAGTCAAGAGCAGCAGAGTAGTCAACCGAAGCTGCCACCTTCACCACACGCACGCCTGATTGCACCAGCCATCTATGGGGTGCGGCACCAGGCAGTCAGGAGCAGCAGAACACACCTCCTAAGACCTTCTAACACCTTTTCACACCTTATGTTTCACTCACCCGTCCCAGGCAGTCAAGAGCAGCAGAGTAGTCAACCGAAGCTGCCACCTTCACCACACACACGCCCGCCCGCACCAGCCACGCTATGGGTTGCGGCACTAGGCAGTCAGACAGGTCGGCTGTAGCAGCCGTCACCGCCGCTGTAGCTGTAGCTGCACCACCAGCAACACTTGTGGATGTAGCGCGGCTGGTAGCGGCAGCACTGGCTGTAGCACTGCCGGCTGTAGCAGCAGCAGGACCAGCACGCCTGCCCACATGCACCCTGGAAACACCCCCAGCTCGTCCCTGCACTTGCCCCACCCGCCCTCCGCCTCCTCTCATCCCTTCCTCCTTCTCAACCCCCCAGCCAGCCGCCCCCCAGCCCTCCGCCCCCCAGCTCCCCCACGCCTGCACGCTCCCCGCCCAGGTCCCCCAGCCCTGCGCGCCCCCCAGCTGGCCGCTGTGCCCGCGCCCAAACGCCAGGACCACACCGGCAGCAGTGACGGCCAGGGAGTGACTCGCGCCCGCTGCTACACTCACTATGCGGTACTGTCCGTACGGATCACTGCTGCTGCTGCTTCTGCTGCTTCTGCTGCTGGCGCTGCTGTTACTGCTGCTGCTACCCGTCTCGTTGTTCTTGCCGCCCGTATCGCTGTTGTTGCCATCCGTATCGCCATTGCTGCCGCCCGTCAATCCGCCCAGCATGGCAGCCAGCACCTCTGGTCGCAGCCCCTCCACGACCGTCGGCTGACATCTGTCGTCCGTATCTCCCAGACCCAGCCGGCCGTTGCCGCCCGCTCCGAACGCATACACAGTCCCATCCCTAGCTAGCACGAGAACATGGCTCCTCCCTGTCGCGACCTGCTGACATGGCACGCCTCTTAAAGCCTCCACAAATTTCGGCTGAGGGAATTTCTTCCCCACCCCGTCCTGCCCGTGCCCACAGCACCCGTTAGTGTCCTGCCCCATTGTGTAAACGTCCCCGGACTTCGTTAGTATCACAGTGAAGGCCCTCCCTCCCGCCACTTGCGCCACCCTCTCCCCCATGCCGCCCTCAGTTTCCTCCCTATTCGCCGCATTCCCCCCATTCCATCCGTTCCCCCCATTCCCCTCCGCGTCCGCGCTTCCCCCCACCACGATTTGCGTTCTCAGGGCTCCCCTCCGCCCCCGCGTCCCTCCCCGCCGCTGCTGCACCTGCTGCTGCGCTTGAGCGTCGGGCCTCTCCGCGCCCGTCACTGCCGAACCAGTTGCTGCCGAGCCTGCAGCTGCGGCACCGCCGCCAAGTCGGACCGCCGCCAGGCCAGCAGCAAGGGCGGCAGCCGCCCACCCTTGGCCTGCCGCCTGGTTCCCGTCTCTCGCCTGGGCAGGTTCATCCGGGGGAGGTTGATCCGCGGCAGCTACCGGGGCGGGCTGATCTGGGGGAGGTTGATTTAAGGCTGGCGGAAGGGTGAACTGCGGAGAGCCGTCGCGCGAGCCTGAACCATACACCCATAGCTCGCCGTTTGACTTTATCTGGAATGAACAATAATCGCCCGCGTATACCGCTGACGCCAGTCCGCCGGCGTTCCGCGCGCTGGCCTCCCGCCGCAGCGCCTCTTCTTCCGCCTCCCGCCGTTGCGCCTCCTTCTCCACTTCCCGCCGCAGCCCCCAGGCGTCCTCCACCGCCCATGCGAAGCGCAGCACGCGCAGCCAGCTCCCGCCGCTGCGCCGCCATTCCGCGCAGGAGGTCTGCCGGCACGCGCGCCAGCAGCGGGTGGCGCAAGCATCGCGTGCGCGCAGCGGTTTCTACGACGGAGTGACGGCGGTTCGGGGGGAGCAGGAGCGGGCGGCGGAGGGCGTAACAGACCGCCTCGAGCCGCGCGAGGTCTTCCGGGGAAAGCTCGCGGTTCGGGTTGGAGGATGGACGGGAAAGCAGGTGTAGAAGCACGTCTTCTGATAGGTCGGCGAAGGACGTTGGCGAAGGCGTCGCAGGTGTTGATGGTACGAGTGCCGTGGCCATAGCCGGGAATGACCTTGGAGTAATTGTTACTTGTAGTCTGCTCCTGGAGAGGATTCTAGAGCGAAGCTTGAAAACACAAGACGAAAATCTCTTATAATTATGGAGATAGCGAGGCTGTTTGTTGGGTTGTTACGCGTAGTCAGCTACTATCGCTACGGCGGGAAATAGTTCAGCTGCGGTCCTGTGTACGATTTATACGATTTGCCGAGTAAATTTGGCTGTGACACCTTTCATATAAAGCTCCTGCGTGAGATGGCCTGTGGCGAAGTTGCTGCTACTGGTTTCTAGTTTTGTAGAAGTTTTTGTGCGTTCCGATACGGTTTTGCGTGTTATATTTTGTTGATTTATGGTGCTTCTTCCCTCAACGGCTTTTTCCTTCGGTGGCAGGTGAGGTGAGGAGGTGAGTGAAAACTGTGGTGGTTTGTGACGAAATTGCGGTTTGGCGCGAGTCGCAGGGATGTTCGCGACATTAGCGGAAGCGAAATTGTGAGGAAGCTGACATGGGTAGATGCACGCCCTCCGATTCTTTACGAACGGCTGCGATGCGTAATGGATGCCTGTCAGCGAGGAAATGTTTCGAAATGTTTAGGAAGATCAGCCAATAAACGGCGAGAACCAGCGAAATCATGCATGGAAGGCTCGGTTTGTTTGACGTGGTGGGAAAGTCGACGAATTGGGGAGACTGCGATGGTAGATTTCGGGATTGTGCTGTCAGCAGACCAATCAGAGCGCATTCAGACACAGTAACGAGAGTTCGGTCTGTGACAGTATAACACTGTATGGCACCGTACACTAACAAAGTATATCTGCATGACCTACACTCCGAGAAATGTTATACCCCTCACAGCTAGCAACTCGCATTTTCGCACCTGATCCTTGAACAAGAGCCAGTCTCCTCAATATCCCAACCAATTTCCACAACAGTGCTCCAAATACTTCTCATTTGAACTGAACTACGGAAGCACCTAGACACATGGCAGATAGTTGGGGGGGGAACCCTCGTGGCGGAGGCCGCGGGAGAGGCGGAAGAGGTGGAAGTGGCGGAAGAGGCGGAAGTGGCGGGCGAGGCGGAAGTGGCGGGCGAGGCGGAAGTGGCGGGCGAGGCGGCCGAGGGTTTAGCGGATCATTTGGAGGTTCAAGGGATTCTCAAGGTTCAGGGTATAAGGGAGGTTGGGGAGGTTCAGGTTCGGGGGGCGGGGCTGGGCGAGGATCGGATGGAGTGGGGGGAAGACGAGGGGGAGGCTGGGGAGGCAGACGCGGAAGAGGCGATGAAAGAGGGGGAAGAGGCGGAGGAAGGGGGGATTGGGGAAGACAGCAGGGCGCAGCTGGAGGAGCGATTGGGCGCGGGGGAGCCGCCAGTCCGGGCGATTCGAGAAAGCGCAAGTTTGAAGGCGCAGGCGGAGGTTCTGGCGAGGGCGGAAGGGGAGGCGCGGGAGGGCGGGGGTGGGGGAGAGGAGGCGGGCGCGGGAGGGACGGGGGACGGGGCGGGGGTCGGGGCGGCGGACAGGGGCGAGGGGGTGGAAGGGGGGAGAGCGCTCCCAGCGGACCGATGGATAGGAAGCAGAGGAAGGTACGTGTATGGGTATTCACGGCATTTAACTTGAACCGTGTGTTCGTCGAGTCGGCTTCGAAGCCCTTAGTCCTTCCGTTAAACCCCGTCCCGCGTTAAAACCCTCCCCTCCCGTAACCCTCTTCTACCCGCTGAACGCTCGCGCGCCTGCTCCTTCCATCCCTCTCGCACCTCCTCCCCTCGTATCACTCTCACGCTCCCCCCCGACCGTCCCGCCTTGACTTTCATTTTCTCCTCCTCTGGTCCCCCCTCCTCCCGCTCTCTCCCTCCTTCGACCTCTCACCCCTCCTCCCCCTCTCCCCTTCCGCTTCTCATCCCTCCGCCCCCCTTCCCCCCCATCCCTTCTTCCCTCTGCGCAGGAGTTGGCGGAGGCGCGGAAGAAGCGCCGCCGCCCGCTCTTTGATCTCGAGAAGGTGGGCGCAGCGAGGGATTAGCGCGCCAGGGTTTAGATCCGCCTCTAAACCTTAAACCCGTGGATTTGGAAAAGGCGCGTTCAGACATTTAGGGTTCTAGCATGTGCCAAATGTAGGGAGAGGCGGGTTTGGAGCAAACAGCCTGGGTGCATGAGCACAGCGCAGGTTGTTTAGGCGCCTCAAGAGTTTGGAGCAAACGGGCTGGTTGCATCAGCGCAGCGCAGGTGTGAGGTTGGTTGCGATGAAGAGAGAGGCTCGGGGAGGGAACATTTTTTGGATGGGGCGATAGGGGAACTATGCCTGTACAAGCCACGCCAAGCCACGCCATGCCACGCCCTGCCACGTCCTGCCACACGCCATGGCACCCGATGCCATGCCGTGAAAGGCCATAGCCTGAACTTGCCCTCCCATGTGTGTGTGTGTGTGTATGTGGTCCCATTTGGTTTGTGCTGGATACTGCTATGTGTGCATGTGTGAGTGAATGCGTGGGTGGTTGAACATCTGTGTGACGGTGCATGTTTGTGACTGGATGTGACTGTATGTATGTGTGTGACTGTATGTATGTGTGTGACTGTATGTATGTGTGTGACTGTATGTATGTGTGTGACTGTATGTATGTGTGTGACTGTATGTATGTGTGTGACTGTATGTATGTGTGTGACTGTATGTATGTGTGTGACTGTATGTATGTGTGTGACTGTATGTATGTGTGTGACTGTATGTATGTGTGTGACTGTATGTATGTGTGTGACTGTATGTATGTGTGTGACTGTATGTATGTGTGTGACTGTATGTATGTGTGTGACTGTATGTATGTGTGTGACTGTATGTATGTGTGTGACTGTATGTATGTGTGTGACTGTATGTATGTGTGTGACTGTATGTATGTGTGTGACTGTATGTATGTGTGTGACTGTATCAGGAGTTGACGCTGCTGTGGGAGAAGAGTCGGCAGAGGAACATCGACATGGAGAAGAAGCGCAAGTGAGTGGTCAGTGCTAAGAAGCAGGATGCAGTGTGAATGCGTGAGTGCTGAGTGCTGCTCTGCTCATTCCCTGTCCTCTTGTTTCCCCCCTTCTATCCGCCTCCACCGTCTTCTCTTTTTTTGACAGGCTGGTAACAATGATGACTGGGAAGATGAAGGGGAAGATGGTGGAGATGGCACGCTCACACACCGTGTCACGCGTGCTGCAGATGTGTGTCAAGCACGGCCGCAAGGAGGAGCGGGAGGCCGTCTTCTCGGAACTGCGCCCGCACTGCCGCGAGCTGGCGGTGCATCCCTACGCCCACCACCTGGTCAACCGCATGATGGATCATGGTGAGTGAGTGTGTTGGTTTCCTGTTCAGTCCACTCACTCACTAGTCCAACGCTCTGTTGTGAGCTGGCGGTGCATCCCTACGCTCACCACCTGGTCAACAGGATGATGGACCACGGTGAGTGTGGGGTGGGGTGGGTGGTTGGTGTGTGTTGGGAGGGGGTGTTGATTACGCCTGCACTGCCGCGAGCTGGCGGTGCATCCCTACGCCCACCACCTGGTCAATAGGATGATGGACCATGGTGAGTGGGTGTGTGTGTGTGACGCGCCACCCTGTCGCCAGTGGAGATGACCTGAGAGAATTCTTAAGAATGATACCAGCCTTGCCGTTCTTTCCGTCTCCTCTCCTGTTCCCTTCTTTTCTCTCGTTCTCCCCTGCCCGTCTGGCAGCGAGCAAGGAGAAGAAGCATGACGTAGTGGGGCAGCTGAGAGGCGTCATTCTTTCTGTCTCCTCTTGACGTGGAGATGACTTGCGAGAATTCTCGATACTGAAACCTGCCTTGTCATTCTTTCTGTCTCCTCTTCCTATTCGTTCTGTCCTCTTTTCCCCCCCATGGGCGCAGCGAGCAAGGAGAAGAAGCATGATATCGTTGGCCAGTTGAGGGGCCATGTGGTGGAGATGATGCGCCACCCTGTCGCCAGTGCTGGTATGTTGGGGGAATGGGAGGGGGGTGTGAGGTGTAAGGGGAGAGATGATGCTATATGCGCCTTACATGGTGCTGGCACTGGTTCAGGAAGGGCCTAGTTTTGAGACTGCAGACTGCTGGCGTCTCAAAACCTGGAAGATTTCTACCAGACTGCAGCTAGTCTCAAAACCTGGAAGATTTCTACCAGACTGCAGCTAGTTTTGAGACGTCTCAAAACCTGGAAGATTTCTACCAGACTGCAGCTAGTTTTGAGACGTCTCAAAACCTGGAAGATTTCTACCAGACTGCAGCTAGTCTCAAAACCTGGAAGATTTCTACCAGACTGCAGCTAGTTTTGAGACGTCTCAAAACCTGGAAGATTTCTACCAGACTGCAGCTAGTTTTGAGACGTCTCAAAACCTGGAAGATTTCTACCAGACTGCAGCTCGCCTAAACAAAGCTTCTATGGCTGATGGTTCAGGAAGGACCTTGGGTGCTGTCACCACCATAGCGGGCAGCTGAGAGGCCATGTGGTGGAGAGGAGATGATGCGACATCCTGTCGCCAGTGCCAGTATGTGTTGGGAGGGTGGGGGGGGTGTGGGGGGGGAACGGAAAGTTGATGCTGTATGTGCCAGCACCACAACAACCAGCTGAGGGGCCACGTGGTGGAGATGATGCGGCACCCTATTGCCAGTGCTGGTATATGTGGGGGGATCTGTGCCGTAACATGGTGTTGTAACATGTCTGCTCTTGTTCCTTGTTGGAATTCTCGTTCCACCTCTTCGCCTCACTCTTGTTCCTTGTTGGAATTCTCGTTCCACCTCTTCGCCTCACTCTTGCTCCTTGTTGGAATTCTCGTTCCACCTCTTCGCCTCACTCTTGCTCCTTGTTGGAATTCTCGTTCCACCTCTTCGCCTCACTCTTGCTCCTTGTTGGAATTCTCGTTCCACCTCTTCGCCTCACTCTTGCTCCTTGTTGGAATTCTCGTTCCACCTCTTCGCCTCACTCTTCTCTCCTCCCTCCTCTCCCCAACCCCCCATCCCCCCCCCCCCCCGCCAGTCATAGAGCACGCCTACCAGCTCTCACCACCCCCCCAGCGATCAGCTCTGGCATCCGAGTTCTTTGTGCCCGCCTTCCGCCTCTTCCCCTCGCTCGCCCTCCCTCTCACTCATGTCTCTCTCCCTCCTTCCTCCCCCCTCTCCCCCCCTCCACCCTCCCTCCCACTCACCAGTGATAGAGCATGCATACCAGCTATCAGCGCCCCCCCAGCGCTCCGCCCTGGCATCCGAGTTCTTTGCTCCAGACTTCCGCTTCTTCCCCTCGCTCGCCCTGCCGGGTGCCGGCCGGCTCTCCGACCTGCCCACCAGCTGACCTCCCCATCCCTCTCTTTGGACTTCTCATTCCGCCTCTTCCCCACACTCTCCCTCCCTCTCACTCATGTCTCTCTCCCTCCGTCCTCCCCTCTCCCCTCTCCCCCCCCCCCCCCCCTCACCCCACCAGTGATAGAGCACGCCTACCAGCTCTCCTCACCCCCCCAGCGCTCCGCCCTGGCATCCGAGTTCTTTGCTCCCGACTTCCGCCTCTTCCCCTCGCTCGCCCTCCCGGGTGCCGGCCGCCTCTCCGACCTGCTAGCCAACCTCCCCTCGGGCACCTCCCGCCAGTCCGTGCTGCAGCATCTAGAAACATCCCTGCAGCCGATCCTGGAGAAGGGCATAGTGGATCACTCACTGTTCCACAGGGTGCTAGCAGACTATCTGGGAGTCATTTCCAAGGTACATCCTCCCTTCACATGGATGCTTGTAGTTGTAGCGGTGGGAGGTGTGTGTGTGTGTGTAGGTAGGTAGGTAGGTAGGTAGGTAGGTAGGTAGGTAGGTAGGTAGGTAGGTCGGTAGGTAGGTAGGTAGGTAGGTAGGTAGGTAGGTAGGTAGGTAGGTCGGTCGGTAGGTAGGTAGGTAGGTAGGTAGGTAGGTAGGTAGGTAGGTAGGTAGGTAGGTCGGTAGGTAGGTAGGTAGGTAGGTAGGTAGGTCGGTAGGTAGGTAGGTAGGTAGGTAGGTAGGTAGGTAGGTAGGTAGGTAGGTAGGTAGGTAGGTCGGTAGGTCCTGACCTAGGTAAGCCCTCCCTGGCGCTGGCCGCCTCTCCGACCTGCTGGCGAACCTCCCCTCGGGCACCTCAAGGCAGTCCGTGCTGCAGCACCTGGAAGCTTCCCTGTAGCCGATCCTGGAGAAGGGCATCGTGGATCACTCACTGTTCCACAGGGTGCTAGCAGACTACCTTCAAGTCATCATCAAGGTATGCTGGGTTTAGGGGGTTGGGGGCACCTCCCGGCAGTCCGTGCTGCAGCATTTAGAAACTTCCCTGCAGCCGATTTTGGAGAAGGGGATTGTGGACCATTCCCTTTGTCACAGAGTGCTGGCGGACTACCTGGGAGTCATCTCCAAGGTATGACAGGGCGATGGCGGTCCTTGACGTGACAGGGGCCTTGAGAGTACACCTGTGCTGTGCACATGTGGTTGAGCGAACCCTAAGCGAGTGAAGGGGATTGTGGACCATTCCCTTTGTCACAAAGTGCTGGCGGACTACCTCGGAGTCATCTCCAAGGTGATTAAGAGACATTCCAACGAGCAGCAGTGCAAGGGAGAAGGTTTTAAGGGAGAAAGGGTAGGAGGGAGCACTCCCTCCTACCCTTTCGTTTTTACAGAACCCTACGTGAATCAGCTAGGATTTTATTACAATTATTTTCTCCTTTGCTAAAGCCTTCTCCCTTAAACAGCTGCTCGCTGGAATGTCTCTTAATCAGCTGGCGGACTACCTCGGAGTCATCTCCTAGGTAAGGCAGGGTGACCTGACCCTTTACTGAGTGAGTGAGTAAAGCGTCTTACTCTCGCTCGCCCCTTGCTGTTCCACCGTGTGCTAGCAGACCACTTGGGTGTAATCCCAAGGAATGGTGCTTCCATCAGGGCAGCAGCAGGCAATCCGTGCCGCATCATCTGGAAGCTTCCTTGCAGCCCATCCTGTAGAAAGGGATGTGGACCACTCGCTGTTCCTCCGCGTGTTGGCAGAGAGTTATATGTCAACATGTTATATTGCTTACTTTGTGTAGGCTATAGTAGGGTAGCCCATAAGAGGTACAACCCAATTAGGGTTAGTACTTGTACTCAGCTCTGACTCAATTCAATCATCCTCGTTCGTTACTTTGACATTATAGCCTGGGTGGACTACCTGAGTGTCATTTCCAAGTTTGCCAGTCCTTGTTATCTACATCTGAAGAAAGAGTGTTTTTGAGACATCTCAAAAACACTCTTTTTTCACGTAGAAAGGGACGTGGACCACTTGCTGTTCCCCCCCGTGTTGGCAGATCACCTGGGCGTCATTTCCAAGGTTTGCCAGTCTTTGTTTTGTACATACATGGTCAAGCGAGTTACAGCCTGGCCTAGATATAGCCTGACTTGGATAAACCCGCAAGGGCTCAGACCATCTAGTTGATCTTTCCACAGGCAGCGCTGCTGAAGCTAACCATCTTTCTCTTCCCTTTCGCCCTCTCCCCGTCTCTCCGAATGTGTGGTTCGGAGTGCAGAGGGAAGTGGCGGAGGTGAGGCAGCAGCTGATGGGAGCGCTGCTGCTGCGCATGGTGCACACCAGGGATGGGGTCAGGATCGCCAATACCATGGTGGCTCAAGCAACTCCCAAGGTGAGCAGCAGTCACATGCCATGCTGGGGACTCCCTAGTTGGACGGCGCTGCTCATGGTGCATACAGGGGATGAGGTCAGGATCGCCAATACCATGGTGGCTCAAGCAACTCCCAAGGTGTGAATCTCAGTGGCTATGCAGGCGACTCTTTAAGTGAGCCGTTAGTTCTGCTGCTGCTGCGCATGGTGCACACGAGGGATGGGGTCAGGATTGCCAATACCATGGTGGCTCAAGCAACTCCCAAGGTGGGCCAGCACAACCTGTGCTAGTAATCATCTGTTTCAGCACTGCAACGTGCGCAAAATCTCACAAACCTGTTCTTTCACCAAGCAACCAACTGATGCATATTTTCCACCACTTCACATCTGACTTGTTCCCTGGAATGTGGCACGGCATGGCATGGCATGGCACCATGGCATGGCCGGGCCTGCATGTCATGTGGCGTGGCCTGGCGTTTATGGCCTGACTTTTCTGGCCTGATGTGGCATGGGATGTGATGTCCTTTTTTGCATGGCATGGCATGGCATGTTGTTGCATGTGGCAGGAGGTGCGGAAAGTGGTGAAGGCATTGAAGGGGGTGGTGGCGCGGGTGGCATGTGACGACCACGGTCACCTGCTGCTGCTGCAGCTGCTCGAATCCGCGTCCTCAGGCCCTCTCAACCGGGTATGTATGGAACAAGGCTCTTGGAGCTTCTTGGAGCATGTCCCTGTGCTTGCTTACTCTCACTTCATGCGTCGGTGGTTTAGTGGTTTTGAGGCGCCTCAAAACTCACTTGATGCGTCGGTGGTTCTTTTCGACACCCTCCTCAAAGCCACGCAAGAGATAATCAGCCACGTAACACTGCCTCTCCGTACGTTTTTTTTTTAGAATTCTCAATTTTTTTTTTGAGAATTCTCAAAAGAATTATCAAATATCATGCTTGCTTACTCTCACTTGATGCATGGGTGGTTATTTCTATCACCCTCTTCAAACCTACGCAAGAGATAATCAGCCACGTAACACTGCCTCTCCGTACGTTTCTCCTTCCATGTGCATTAGCTCAGTGATCAAGGGGCTGATCAAGGACCTGTTTGTGGTCATGCGGTGGCGATTCCCTTCCCCTACTCTCTTTTCCCCCTCTCAGTTCGTGATCAAGGAGCTTCTGAAGGACCTGTTCGAGGTGATGCAGGAGCGCATTGGGGATCCAAGGTTGCCCTCCCCTCTTCCTTTCTTCCCACCCCATCCCCTCTTCCTCCCCACACCCCGTGTGTGTATAAATTCAGTTTGTAATTAAGGAGCTGATGAAGGACCTCTTTGAGGTGATGCAGGAGCGCATTGGCCGCCGGTTTCCTCCCCTCACACCTTCCCCCTCTCTCCCCCACCCGTCTCCTCGTTTCCCCCTTCTCAGTTCGTGATCAAGGAGCTCTTAAAGGACCTGTTCGAGGTCATGCAGGAGCAAATCAGCCAATCTAACGCGAGCCTCTTTTGCGCTCCTTGCCTTCCTTCCCCCCTGTGACCACCCAGCTCTCCTTCAGTTCGTGATGAAGGAGCCGTTGAAGGATCTGTTCGAGGTGATGCAGGAGCGCATTCGACAGCTAATGCCATCCTTTTTTAGTCCACCTTTCCGCCCTTGCCCTCCATTGTCACACTCCAGTTTGTGATCAAAGAGCTCTCGAAGGACCTGTTTGAGGTGATGCAGGAGCAAATGAATAACCACCCCCCTTCCCCAACTTGCCCCCCTTGGCCCCCCGTTTCAACTTCAGTTTGTGATCAAAGAGCTCTTGAAAGACCTGTTCGAGGTGATGCAGGAGCGCATTGGCCGCCGATTCCTGCTGCAGCTGCTGGCCCCCTCCTCCCACCGCTACCTGCCGCCCGATGCCGCCCAGGCCGTGGTGCTGGGCGGCAGAGTGGAGGAGGTAAAGGAGGAGAATGAGGAAGAAGGGGAGGAGGGGGAGGAGGAGGGAGGTGAGGAGGGAGAGGAAGGGGAGGAAGAGGAGATGATGGTGGAAGGGGAGGATGGAGAGGAGGAGGGAGAGGAGGGGGAGGAGGAAGGTGGGGGAGTTGGGATGGGAGAGGAAGATGATGAGGAGGAAGGAGAGGAGGAGGAGGGAGAGGGTGAAGAGGGGGAGGATGAAGGATATGAGGGAGAAGAAGGGGAGGAAGGGGAGGAAGGAGAGGAAGGAGAGGAGGAAGGGGAGGAAGGAGAGGAGGGAGAGGAAGGAGAGAAAACGATGAAGCCTGGGAAGAAGGGGAGGCTGGATGGCAAGAAGAGAAAGGCAGCAGCAGCAGCAGCAGCAGCAGCTGCATTGGATGATAGTGATGATGACGAGGAAGAGGAGGAAGGGGAGGAGGAGGAGGGGGAGGGAGGGCAGGGGTCCCGGTCCCTTACGAAGAGGAGGAAGCTTCTTGTAGAGTCGGGGTTGGCAGAGGTGAGAAGGAAGGAAGGAGAGGTGGGATGGGGTTGAACGGGATTGGATGGACTTGGCAGGGGTTAGATGGGATGAGAAGCTCCGATACTCAGCTGCAATGCTTGGTGTTGCCCTTCGCCTTGTGCATCCTTGCCCTGTATCTCTATAAGGAAATGCTCGAGCCAACAGTGGAGCATGCAGGGCCCATAGTAATTCTGAGACGTCCATAATATACGTATATGTTGCATTGCATTTTGCTGCCTGCTGAATGTGTGCTGCTCTGGACCCTCAATCTAACAGGAGATGCTCAAGTTGGCAACAGAGCATGCAGGAGCGATGCTGACTTCTCAGTTTGCCTGCGATGTCATCTATGAGGTACTGTTGTGGCAACTGAGAAGCGATGAGGAGCGATGCGCTGTTTCAGTTGCACCTGTGGCACGTGTGCTGTGCGCGTTTCATCTGTGGGCTACATGACACGTTCGTACAATCTCATATGGCCTCTGTATTCTCACTCCTCTCCTTGTCCCACCCTCTCCAGCTTGCCTGAGGAGGGGATTCTTCTCTGCTCGCCCTCCACCACCCCTCACTCCTCTCCGCCCTGCACTCAGCCATCGCTGCTGCTGCCGCTGCTCCCCGTCCCCTTACTAATACTGCTCCCTCCTTCGTGTTTCTTCCCCACACATCCCAACCCCTTCCCTTTCCAGCTTGCCCGAGGAGGGGATTCTTCTCTGCTCGCCCTCCACCACCCCTCACTCCTCTCCGCCCTGCACTCTGCCATCTCTGCAGCCACCTCTTCTCATTCCTGTAATAACACTGCTCTTCCTTACTCCTTTCTTCCTTCCCCCATCCCACCCTCTCCAGCTTGCCCGAGGAGGGGATTCTTCTCTGCTCGCCCTCCACCACCCCTCACTCCTCTCCGCCCTGCACTCAGCCATTGCCGCTGCTGCCTCTCCTCCCCGCCCTGCTGCTGCTGCGGGCCCTGCCAAGAGTGAGAAAGCTAAGAAGGGGAAAAAGGGGAAGGGGAAGAGCAAGGAGGGACAGGGTGAGGAGAAGGAGAAGGCGGAGGAGGAAGGGGAGGAGGGGGAGAAGGCAGAGGGGGAGGAAGAGGAACAGCAGAGCCATGTGTTGGAGGACTTTTTCGGGAGTAGAGTGCTCAGGCGGCTGGTGGCTGAGGAGGACAGGCTGGCAGCTGCGGCAGCTGTGGAAGGAGCAGAAGAAACGGCAAATACAGAAGAAGATGCAGGAGGGGAAGAGCAGATGGAGCCGTTTTGCGCTGTGTTGTGGCGAGAGGCACTGCAAGGGCGGTGCAGGGAGTGGGGCACAGGACACAGGTGAGCTGGGAGAGCACACAAGTCAGGGGCTATCGGGTTTACATCAAGCACCCTTATTGTTTCCTTCCCCTCTTCCCTCGCCCTCTCCCTGTTTGCCTTCCCACATTCACCCTCCCTTCCTTTTTTCTCTCACTCCTCTAATGCTTTTTCCCATTTCGTTATTCTTCTCACTCTCGTCTGCATCGCCAAGGTGGTGGCAGCACCTGCCCATGCCCATCTTTGCGGCACCTCAAAACCCTCCCTTCCCCTCCCCCCCCCCCCGCCCCCCCCCCCCCCCCCCCCCCCCCCCCCCCCCCCCCCCCCCCCCTCCCCCCCCCTCTTCTATCCCCTTTTCTCACTCTCTCGTCTGCAGTGCTAAGGTGGTGGCAGCACTGGCCCATGCTCCTCACAAGCCAACAAAAGACGCCGCCCTGAAAGAAATGGCAGCGTTAATTGATAAGCCTGAGTTTGCGGCACTGAAACGATTGGTGGAGAGTCCACCCTCGCACAACCACCACTAGGGTAGCAGGCAGCACTGAAACCACCAGCTATTTTTGTGAACACAACAGATGCTTTGACTTGAATATTACTGCATCTGGTTACCGTATGAGAAGTGATGTGCATCTGGTTACCATTACATCACTTCTCAAATGGTTTTGCCAGAAGGGCAAGTTGCTCTCTTCCTCTCTGCTTATTACCATCCCACGATACATTACTTGAATATCAGCGGATTTTTTCCCTCACTTAATGCAACAGCAGCAACAAAGGAATGTGCTACTCTATATTCATGTAGAGGCCACATAAATCCAAGAACAGTTCACTCTGAGATAGGCGAGGCAGGCTAACTACAGTACACGAGGGCATTCATATAGACCACTAGGCAGATATTTGATACATCACACAAACAAACATCAACCGCAGGATGGAAGTGGGGAAGGAAGGAACCCGCAACAACAGCAACAGAGGCAGCAGCAGCGGCAGCAGCGGCAGCAGCAGCAGCAGCAGCGACAGAAGTAGATTTTCACCGAGGGACACTGATGATAGCATTGTACTGTAGCAACTGATCCACTCTCATCTCTCACAACACCGCAAGAAGCCGCGCAGCAGCAGCACATATCGCCAGTAGGACCAGCAGGACCAGGACAATGCTTGGATTGGATTGGACCTCCCTGATCACGGGCCCGACTAACTGCGACGCTTAGCATTAACAATGCAACGCCCAGTGTGGAAACACTTAAGCGCAGCACTTAATACCGCAGCCAGAAGGTGCGGCGGCGCAGCCAGTTGTAGTCTGGGAGGAACTGAGTCGGACCAATCGCTGCCACCGCCACATCCTGAGGAGGGGGTATAAATGGGGAAGGGGGAGCAGAAAAAGGGGGGACGGGGGACACGTGTGACGAAACTGACCAATTGTAGTCCGGGAGGAACTGCGTCGGGCTGATAGCTGCCACCGATAGCTGCCACCGTCACGTACTGTTGAGCATCACATAAGGCAGTCAGTGAATCGCTCTGCTATGCGCTTCACCGTCTCAGCATCCACGGCATCGATACGCACACAACCCTCGTCACAAGCGGCACACCCACTCCCACCATCATCACCCAACACTACCCATCATCACCCATCCCACTTCTCACCCTGTCCAGCAGAAACCGTTCTGCAACGCGCTTCACCGTCTCAGCATCCACGGCATCGATGCGGGCAAACATCTCAGCCAGGGGGATGCGGCGCCCGTACGTGATCAGCTGCCGCCCGATGTCCTCCGCCACTGCACTCGAGCCATCCAGATGCAGCGCCAGGGACGCCTTGAGCTGTGGGGTGGGTTGGGGTGGGTTCGGGCAGGTTGGGTTGGGTTGAGCGGAAGGGATGGGTGGGTGGTGGATGGGTTATATATTGGGGAGAGGCATAATTGGATGGGCAGAGTGAGAAAAAAAACTCTTTGGGTGTGGATGTCACAGCATGCCCACCCAAACGGCTGATAAACATGGTGACATCACATCGACAGCATGCTGACGTGGCACTTACCGCGTTGCCAGCGCGGGTGACGTCATCATCAGAGACGCGGTAGACGAGGCGAGTGATCTCGTGCATCATGGCCCAAGCTAGGTCGTCCAGATGGTCGGGCTGTTTGCATGCACGGGAACAAGAGGGACAGAAGATGGGGACATGGGGTAGGCGAATGAGGCACATGGCATATGCAAGTGAACCCATCTCATGCATACGAACAAAAGAGGGCGGAGATTGGGAAGCACGAGATAGAATATCCCTGAAGAAACAGTAGACGGTAGTAACAGCAACAAACAGCAAGCACCCATGGGAGCCCACCCACCTTGGCGCAGGCATAGACCCCAAAGAGCCCCGTGTCCGAGTAGTTGGTGTTGAAGGCCATGAATCGCTCACACAGGCTGTTGGCCGCCACCTTCTGTGCCAACTCGGAGCTGGGAGAGAGATGAGGGGCATAGATCATAGAGGGGGATGGTGGAGGAGAGGGCATGAGGGAGAGCGGCCGGGAAAGGAGAGGGGCAACGATAGAGAGTGGCTGGAGTGGACGTAGTTGGTGTTGAAGGCCATGAATCGCTCACACAGGCTGCTGGCCGCTACCTTCTGTGCCAACTCGGAGCTGAAAGGAGAGGGGGAGACGGTATGAAGGAGAGGGGAGGGGAAGCATGGGGGGCAGGGTGAGATGAGCAGAGAGAGGGGCTGGCTGGACGGATGGATGCAGTTGGTGTTGAACGAAAAGATGAGCAGGGAAAGAGGGGGACGAAAAGATGGGGCTAGCACACCCGGGTAATCGTATTCCTATCGGTCACTCACGTCACCCGCCCCGCAGCTTTGAGATGTCTCAAAACTAGATTCCTATCGATCACTCACCCGCCCCGCGGCTCCAGGACCCCAGCATGGCCTGCATGATCTGCTGCAGGGCCATGGCACGGCATCACCATCTCACACCATACTGTACCATAGCACACCGCGCTTCTTACCCCAGCGCATTCCCCCAGCCAGCACCACGGCTCCAAGATCCCAGCATGGTCTGCATGACCTGCAGCGCCACAGCATCCGGGTCCGTCCAGCTGGGTTACTCCTTGCAATACCATACCACGGTACCACCTGGACGCATGTATCTCACTCACCCCAGAGCGTTCCCTCCGCCAGCACTGCGGCTCCACGACCCGACCCCAGCATGGTCTGCATAATCTGCAGCGCCACAGCACCACCCTCTCACCCCTGGCCATTGCACACAATACCACACCACACCACACCACACCACACCACACCACACCACACCACACCACACCACACCACACCACACATCCTCAACACATTCAACTCACCCCAGCGCGTTCCCCCCGCCCGCTCCCGGCTCCAGGACCCCAGCATGGTCTGCATGACCTGCAGAGCCACAGCACCACCCTCTCACCCGCCTGCTTGCTCGCAACCTATCAGACACCCACCCATCACCCCTCATAGATACTCACCCCAGTGCGTTCCCTCCGCCAGCGCCTCGGCTCCAAGATCCCAGCATGGTCTGCATGATCTGCAGCGCCACAGCATCCGGGTCGGTCCAGCTAGCGCCCTTGTAGGCAATGGCGAAGTTGGTGAGCGGCATGTCGTCGTCACGAATGCGCACCTCCGAACCTGGAGGGGAGGATAAGGGGGGAGGAAGGGAAGGAGAGGTCACCATACTAGCAGCCCAGCTGGCGCCCTTGTAGGCGATGGCGAAGTTGGTCAAGGGCATGTCGTCGTCACGAATGCGCACCTCAGAACCTGGTGCGAGAGGGGTGAGGGGAGGAGGGAGGGGGGGGGGGGTGAGGTGATGGGAGGAGTGCAAGGAAAGGGAGGCAAGGAGCTAGGCGTCAAAAGTCGATCTCAGCGGTCCAGCTGGCGCCCTTGTAGGCGATGGCGAAGTTGGTCAAGGGCATGTCGTCATCACGGATGCGCACCTGCGAACCTGGTGCGAGGGGGGCGGGGGCAAGGGGGGGAGGGGGGTGAGGTGGTGGGGGGAGTGCAGGGAAAGGGAGGCAAGGAAGGAGGGGTCAAAGACGACCCTAGCAGTTCAGGAAGGATGAGGGATGTGGGTGTGGGTGTGGGTGTGGGTGTGGGTGTGGGTGTGGTGTGGGTGGGTGGGAGGGGAGGGAGTTGTTGAGTTGAGACAGCAGTCCAGCTGGCGCCCTTGTAGGCGATGACGAAGTTGGTCAGCGGCATGTCGCTTTCGCGGATGCGCAGAACATGGGGAAGGGAGAGGGCGCAGGGGGGGGGAGAAGGGGTTAGGGGCGGTTGCAAGGGGTTGTGGGAAGTGGGTGGAAGAAAAAGCCACGGAGGGGTCAGAGACAACCGAAACAGCTCAGCAGCAGCAGCAGCAGCAGCCCCAACAGCAGCAGCAGCAGCGCGCACTGTGAACTTGGAGGGCTTCTTGGAAATAAGGTTAGCGACAGTGCTGGTGGTGTTGGCAGCAAGCAGCGACAGTGACAGTGGTGGTGTCAGCGACAGTGGTGGTGATGGGTTATCTATACTCTCAACAGTGGTCCCACTGAACACACCTGTGAACTAGAACTTGGAAAGCCCCATATCACCTGTGAACTTGGAAGCAGGCAGCGGCGGTGGCTTACTCTACTCTTGCAACGCCCCACACACACCATCACGGCCAACACCCACCTGTGAACTTGGAAGGCTCCTTGGCGATGAGGTCCGCGACTGTGGTGGTGCTGGCAGCAGGCAGCGAGGCAAATGTCTTCTCCACCATCTTCACGAGAGCATCGTGATCCACCGCTCCTGCTGCCGACACCACCTGGGGGCAGGGTGAGGAGGGCATGGGGGGGGGATGGGTTTGGTTGGGGCAGGGGGGTTGGTTAGTGACTGGCAGCAGGCAGCGAGGCGAATGTCTTCTCCACCATCTTCACCAGCGCGTCGAGGTCCACCCCACCGCTCCTGCTTCTGTGTGATGGCGCGCACGCTACCCGCGGAGCCGAGGACGGTGCGCCCCCTCCCCCCCACACACACGCACCCACACCCATTCCCGCTATAAGCTCACCATCCTGGGTCCAGTATAGTGCGTCGCAATGTACTTCTCGAGCTCGTCGCATGTGATGGCGCGCACGTTTTCCGCGGAGCCCAGGATGGTGCGCCCGCCCTTCCCCTTCCCCCCCCAACACCCACACCCACCCACATATATCCCCGACATAAGCTCACCATACGGGGTCCAGTATAGTGAGTCGCGATGTACTTCTCGAGGTCGTCGCGCGTGATGGCGCGCACGTTATCAGCGGAGCCCAGGATAGTGCGCCCCAGCGGGCTGAACTGGAAGGCCGTGGCGTGGAGATGGTCGAACAATACCTCCTCCACCTGCTTCTCGATCTGCGAATGCAGGGTGTGTTCCAAAAAGAGAGTGGACGGGAGGAGAGGAGAGAGTGCAAGTGGGAAAGAGGATCAAAAAGGAGGAAAGAAGCGGATCGTCGCGTTCAGATAAAAAAAGAGGGGAGCAGAGGAAGCGGAGAGTGCGAGAGGATAATGTCACGCCGGGTGGTG